GCACTAATTTTACTTTTTCCACAATAATTTTTTGCCGTACTCCAGTATTCCAACCAAACAACACAAATAAGTGTGATTTTATTAGGCACGTAATACGTGTACGTTTGAAAATGGCAATTCGATACATACTACGATTACGATCAGCTGTTAGAGTATTTTGCATTTTGTTCAACGCTTGGATTTAACCTAACCTAAAACGTGTTGTTTGGTGATTGAAAGACTCATTATTTATATACTTTATAGTAACTGTAGGAAAAATATAATCTGTAACGGGAGTGCAAACTGCCTCGAGAAACTTTCCACACTCACCTGCGTCTCGTGCGTAAACATTTCTCTAGTGTGCAGCAAAGTTCCACTTCGCACACTAGCTACACAAATAACCATGATTATGATTATGATGGTTATGATGGTTTTTTTCTTTCGTGTATTTTTCTACAATATAGCATTGCATAAAGTTCATGTTTAAATGTAGTGTGTTATATGAATTAAAATATCAAACAGGTTCAATAATTCGTACACTAGAACCATAGAATAAATAAATACTGCCATTGAATATCTATGATTGGTTTTAATACACATCTAAAGAATTTATGAATATATAACATGCGGATCATACTGTAACTACATCACATAACCTTATATCAATTTTGCCCAAGTAACAAAAATAATTTCTATGTAATACCATTGACCGTTGTATTAATAGTCAAAGGTAATACTGACTTCATTTCATTTCATTTCATTTTAATTTGTTTTTTGTCGTGAGAACCAAAGCTCCCCGACGACTCACTTCGACGAGTAATACTGACATACTTGTGTTTGTATTGGTATATAGAAAATATATTTCAAACGACTCTTTAATTTTAAATCTATATACTTTTTCTGTTCTTATAATCGGCCAAATCTCCTGCATTACAAAGTAAGCAAAGTTATTGACAGTTTTGTGTTTGTCTTTTCAAACAACTTAACGATACTAAGTCATTCACCATATTTTACCTAAGTTCCTAACGTTTTGTTTGCTTGAGTCAATCATCTTGTTTAAGCGTCCATTTATGATTTAGTCTCTAAGCTGATTACCAGACTACAACACTGTTCTATCTTATTTCCCCATTTGAGGATAATATCCCAATGTCCTCTTCTAACTTCCTATTCTTCGTTATTAAAATCTATTCAGCATAAAAAACTACTTATGTTAAAATCCAACCAATACTCATAACTATTAATTAACTTAAGTTTGTCTCATGGATCGTTGGAAATTATTAAAATAAATAGGTTAAAATGACATTGTGCTTCTGTCACTTGGTTTTTAATACCATGTTTTTTCAAATTAGCTACATCGACTGTAAAATAAATGAATGTGGGGTGGATTGCCAGGTTAAAATTTGCACTAATAAATTGAAATTCCCCTGAAACTTAAATAATAAAAGCCAAAATTATTTGTAAATAAAACGTGAGTTTCCTGTATTTTGCTAATACAATTGATGGATATAAACTATAACGAGCCATGGCTCGGTCCCCAGGTACTCCAGTTTTAAACCACATAATACATTTTCTCAGGATTAACCTGTCGACCTTTTGATTTCCAGTCCGGCATTAAATCCACGCAGCTACTTATATTTAAGTAAGAGTTACCGTATAATATATTATCCTTAAAAGGCGATTTATTTCTAACCAAGAGAGCCCTCTCTGTACAGCTTCCACCACTTACAGCACACAATAACAACAACAACAACCATCCCACTTACCTCAACGCTCGTTAGTGCGAAGTGTAAGCGTCCACAGCTGAGAGCGTCGTTCTATGACACGAATGTGTACTGTTATTTATGACTTATGAACAACGCGCCTTCGTAATTGCATGTGTGTCTAGGCAGTAATTTTATAGCCGCAATAAAACAGGCCGTGGACGTTGCAATTGCTCTATCGGCGCAATACGTGAGTCTGCGTTTAGCGCAAATTGTAGATTTATTTGCAGAACAGCTGGCGCCACGTAATTGTAGTTAAAGTAACAGTTATGTATTAAAATTTCCAAAATTTTTTGAGAAGATTAGTGATTTATTGACTTATACGCAGACGTTAACTCCTAAAAGTTGACAAAAGATGTATTCAATTTTGATTTTCCATTGAATGAGTTCATGATAATAACCATCTTGTAGTAAGAAGAATTAATATATCTTTATTTATGTTGATAACTATGAGCTTTTGTGTACACTGACCACAACTATTGGAAAACGTGGTTGATTCATTTCAGAGAGTGTACTATTTGTTATGCTTATTTTTTTAGAAAATAGAATTTATTCATTCTTCAATTTCTTCTTCATAGTCCATTTTATTACTCTTGATGGCTTATACAATTGACAGCTTTGTATTGAAAATCTATGTCCATATAAATTTACTTGATGTATACTTTCAGAAATGGTAAGTTTTAGCGAATTTCCCATATAGGGAATAAGCTATTACCGTAGTACTCATGGTAAGACCTGGACGCGGGACCGATTATATATATATATATATATATATATGTGTGTGTGTGTGTGTATATGTATATATATATGTGTGTGTGAGTGTCCGTCAGCACGATAACTCGAGCAAAAATTATCCGATTTTGATTAAATTTGGTACAAACGTGTAAATGTACGTTTATTCGAACGAGTTCGCGATCCAGCATGATCGGACCATGGGAACGGGGGTTTACGGGGGGTTTTATGGGGTAAAAATAGGTTTCTCCCACTTTTGACTCAAAAAATATAAAATTTAGCAATTTCTTTCCAAACCATTTTGTAGAGCTTAAAAAAACAAATAATTTAGTATATTGAAGCGTTATTATGCGCCTAATGGTTACGGAGAAAATTCCAAAAAATTGTAAATTTAAAATTCCCAGGTTATTCTTATGGAGAATAAGTAAACTGTTGTAGTTTATTGCTTGTTTGTGAACATATTTTGATCAAATTTGGAAAATGTTTTTATTTCTTACTAACTATTCACATTTTACAAAAAAAAAAACAGTTTTACCCTCCCTGATGCAGCAAACCTAAGTACTTGTTAAACTAATTCTATTTAAATCAAGAATAAATGTTATATTTTTAAGTAGACATTTCAGTGTAAATCCAATCAGTCAAATGGAAATTCGCTTAGTCTGCAGGTTTGCTGCGGTGGGGGTATTTTTTTTATGCGGCTAGTATTATCAAATTGAAACAAATATTTTTGGAATGGTTAAGCTAAGATCAACAATGGCTAAAACAATGGTTTACGATAGTTTAAGCTAGGACTAAAACAATGATTTTTTTTGTTTCTTTGCTAGACGATAATTTAAGCTAGGCCTACAATGATTTTTCTGTAAAGCAGAAAGGCAGAATTTTACGTCTACTTTAAATCATACTAAACGTGTGTTCAAAACAGGTGTGCAAGATACAAGTGTTGAATCCATGTCATATACTAACACTGTAGTGGCAGACATTGTAAAATTTCAATATGGTTTCAATGTGGTTCAAATTCCACTATAAACTGTAGGATAGCCAAGGATCTTGGTTGCAATTCGCTGGGCTATTAATTAACAGCTGTGTATAAGGAACAAGTCGACCTTAGTCACTAACAACACTATTATAAGATCATGCCACTCATCCTACACTCATCTCCATTCATTTGGCTCAAAATACCTACATTCGTAAGGTCGCCATTTCATAAGAAAGTATTTAAGAATAAATACATTTTATTATCATATACCTTCATTAGTTGTATTCTTTTAACGCCCAATCAAAATACAAACTAAGTCATTGCTTCAGCAATTACTTAAGATAATCCATAAGAACGATAAATCAATAACTATTTAAATCCATGCATCATAACTTATTTACTTTAAAGTGAGTCTATTTGGTACAGTGAACGGTTGTAACTTCGTTTTGTTCTACACGCGCTAGCGATTGGAATTGGAACCAGTCAGCATATAAACAAACAGCTGACAGTGAAATGTGGCTAGAACAACGAGACACGTGTATCACATTATACAGTATACAGAACAGCGGTCGTGTCAAACCTCAGTATATCATGCAGGCGGTGTCATTGACCATACTGGGCAATAAGCACTACCGAGATCAAGTGAGCAGTGAGCACCAACCTTCACAGCTGATTATACTCAGCTGTTTTGCCATTGCAACAAAATGATCATCTGCGTTCTTTTCAATAATGTTGTGGTAATAGTGTCAAGGATATTTTTTGCAGAAGATTTCTGCAAGTTTTAGTTTAACTAGTTATTTGTATTGTCTTGTAAAATTTCAATAACTTATTGTTGTGTTTGGTATTTTAAGAACATCAATGCACGAGATAAAGTATATCCAACTCTTATTAAATTTGAATGAACTTACATTAATTTGTTAGTGGAATTTATTTTAAAGTAAAAAACTGTACATAGAATCTATCAAAGCCAAGACACATCGACGCACCCTCCTTCATTATTATTACATACGCGAAGCTGCTTATTGTTAGCGAAACTCCTTCCTTATTTCTTGATAAATAATGGCATTAAAGTTATCAAAATATTTATTTAAGTTCGTTGTTTATCTTGAAGGGAATGGGTTGTCCTGAAAGTTCGTTTCTCGTTCACAAAATTAACATATAAAATATTTACGATGAGTGATTTCAGTTGACTCATTTTCTTACCTATATATAAACTTCAATCAAATAAATACAACCAGCTGTTCCCTTAGAAAAATAAAAAATATCATCCATTCAAACATAAACAAACCGTTTCTCCATAAGGATATCATGAGAACTTTATTGGCCACTGGGGCAGAGCCCTGATGGAATTTTGTGAAAACGCTTCTTATTGCACACCTAGAGCCAAATTAGAATCTCCCTGCCAATTCCTGAGTTCTTATGGTTAGTAGTTTTTGAGATAGATTGATCTGTGAGTCGGTGGGTGGTATTTGAGTATTATAAGTACCTATAGAAGGTAGATACGTGTTACTATTAATATCATGCAAACATTCTAATTATGTTTTCTGTTGCAGAAAAGCGCTACAGTTTCACAGAGAAGCAGCGTTATGATGGATGGTTCAACAATTTGGCTCACCCATCGTGGGGCGCTGTCGGTAAGTGCTTTCTATATTTTTTTCATTTGTATAATTTTCGACTCCCAACGCCTTATCAGTAGATTCCCCTATCTTTAAATAAGAGTTGGCCAAGTTGGCCAACCCCCGTGGGCTTTCGCAATTCAGAATCAGAATTTCGATCAGAATTTGATTTCTGGCGTCAACCAAGTCCTTAGGGAAGTTTTCTGCCAGAACTTTGATGAAACTAAAAGTAAATAAAAATTACTCGGTTATCAAACGGTTCTCAGTTTAGACGGTTACCTTTCAAAATAATTCATGTTTTTGGTTACAGTCAAGATTTTAGTTTGATATGTTACAACTTGAATAGGCCTACATATGTTCTTGATCATCCTTTCAATGAATGGTCCTGGGTAATGAAACAGGTTAGTCAGTAAAAATGTTTTCTGATCATCCACTCTGCTTAAACTCATCCTGGATTCCATACTCAATTCATATAAAGTGCACAACTTATTCAAGTGAAATGTTTAAGGTCATACATAAGTTGATTAGGAAAACGCTTTGAGAATGATCAGTTTCAAACCATACGTTATAGTAGTACAACGAACGGACTGGAATACCCTTATTTTTATTTCACGATGCCCCCCCCCCCCCCCCCCGGTCTTACCAAAGACTTCTTTAATGACATTTTGTGTTAAGTTTGGAGCTTGTCACAAACGTTTCGTCTAAGTTAACTCTTTGACAATGTATATAAAATTTACCTCTATCACCTCTATAGAACCATGCACCGAAATGTATTTGTGTAATCTTTATTTGCATTGTACAAACAAAACCAATATCTGGCACTTATAAAGTGTTTACATTGCTACCAGTCCCGTACTAGTCTTACTTGTTGCTTATCGCGGGCTTAGCTGATAGTCAACTTTCACACTCGTTCTAAGGCTATGGGAACTAGATAACGAGTGCTCAGCCTACAAATAAGTACCAATTAAAATAACTTCTGGTCGCAGAGGAATTCACCGCTGCTGTACATAAGGATTAGCCTAGTAAGATATCGTCTGAATCGGCTTTAACAACTTTTACTGAGGTGAAATAGCGCCCCTAGTTCTACTCGTTTAAAATCTGAAAACTAACACCAATAAGTATTTATGCAATGTCTATTAGGCCTACAATTTAGGTTTAAACAATATGTTAAGATTTTGACTAAATAAAGGTTAGAAATTTGGTAGCTAGCCTATAGTTTATTAGTATACGTAAACCTAAGGTTTTTGCTGAGATAATCTAGTATTTATTTTTCGCATCTAATAAGAGAGTACTACATCGTTTTAATGATTTATCTAATGATATATTTCTTTATAGTTTGGTAACAATGTAATTTATAGCTTGTGGTTCAGGAAATACAGGATAATTTTAGTGAATATTTTCATCCAATTTAAAGAAATTTCATTGCTAGTTTTTGGAATGGATTGATAGTTCAACGGAAAACGCAATTTGTTAAAAAATTATTTCGCTGAGAATCGAACATGCGAAGGTATACACTAAAACAACTCACCCACCCATATAAGTAATATAAGCTGCGATTCGGTGCGGTGGCCAACATTTAATCATAGGGATATTGGACAATTAACTATAAACGAGGTTATTAATCAACGCTAAGGTGTTTGCTGCTGATCCGAGATATCTTCAAAGCGGTCCAGCAAGATGTCGCAACGCCCTGTCGAACTCATGATGAAATTTTAATTAAAGCGTATCGATCTACACCATTCAAATTGCAAAAGTCCATTTAAATTATTCTAGATCGAGCATATGATTAAGATAGTGATCTATTGCTAATAGAATTTCTTTTACAGAGACATACTATCCACGTACCTTTAAACTAAAGAAAATGTTGAAATGTGTTTTATACATACATTAATAATACAGCATTCATTGTTCTTCAGTCTAGACCATTTAAAACGTTCAACAACCCACTTCATCTGAGTTCTTAACATGGTTCAGCAGCCTAGATAAGTCACATAGAACTCATAGACAGTCTATAACACTTTGATTGTTCTAAATCCCAAAACATTATTCCTACATTCAACATCACTTAGATTGTTCCACCCCTCATAACACTTAAATCTTTCTAACTTCAACATCAATAGAGTACAGTAAACGTTTCTTTGATTGTCATACAATTAGCTTCACATAAATTTGTTTTCTCACAATTAACACTTGGATTGTTAGTTATATTCGATATCACTTTACTTAGATTTTTTCAGTATATTATAATCGCTAGCAATTTGTCGTCGCCACTTGACACTAGAGTAAATTAAAGTGAAAATTATTGCTACCTGTTACAACTATTGAGAATTGTTACTACTGTACAATTCCAGCGCAAATGTGTTCTGTTATAATGATACAATTTTCAGTGAAGATTGTAACTACGACAATCATAGCGTTGCCAGAGACAGTTATAGTTACTATACCACAATCAACCTCATAAAATTAACAACTGCCAAACATATGGTAGTATGACAGCGGCTACACAACGTTCAAAACACACATACGCACACACGCACACCCATACACACACCAAAGCAATTGACCCTAGGTGAATTGCCTAATAGACTTTCCCTTGTTCCCTTCGTAACGCCTTGAAACGTCAATGCGTCCAAAAATTTATAATCGCCAAAAACTGTCAACAAATTTCGCAACGGGGATTTATACACGCGATGTACCCTAAATCGGAAAGTGTTTGACCTCCGTAAATTAGCGCTGATTAAAGGTTCAAAGGTCGAATTTCGGTTGCTCAAGGTAATTAATTAAAGCTTACCTCAGGATTTACAAGTTGACTCAGCACATGGGCGCGCCCACAGGTGATGGGCGGTAACAATTGGAGGGAATCAGTAGCTCTGAGAAATCAGCTGACTCCATTCATGGTCTGATTGCAACTACGATTGATCATATGTTCAGTCCAAGACGGTTGCTAGGAGGTTTGAAAATGTTGCTTTGACTAGAAGGATCGAACTTGTAAATTAATGGGTCATTAGAATGTCGAGGCGAGTGGAGAAGACTACCTGACATAAGCCTATTCTCCCCAACAGTACTATACCGGGTATTTCGCTGGGAGAAAGGGGTGGTCGAGTAAAGAGGGGCGGGAGAAGGAGAGAGAGGGTGAGGAGAGTGAAGTGAATGTGATCTGTGGCGAGAGGAGAACAATACGAGAGCGTGGCCGTGTGTTGTATGCACTACAAGTAGGTGCAAAGTAGTTTCTAAACAGGAAACAGAGCTTCCAATAAAGTATCTATTGATTGGCGTTTGACAGTCAATACTAATGCTAAAATTATAGAACATTTTTTTGTTATATAATTTTAATAATACATGTGTAGCCTATTAGGCGTATATATACAAAAATATTCTTACCTACAGTTGGATTTTTTAGCTAGAAGCAGTTAAGGTGTGGTGGAATATCTTTGAAGATGAACCTATCTAGCTGTAGTGCGATCTTCAACCAGGATGTGATTTAGCCATGCGAACGAGCTCACTTATGAAGTAAAACGGGGCAAAGCTCGCGGGTACAGCTAGTGTGTTTATATGTGTCAAATTTTGAGGTTAAATCAAAACAAACAAACAGGCATGTTTGCAATCAATAATTAAGCGTTTAGAGGCCGGGTTGTATTACTTACGAAAGAATTGCCATTTAAGATCAAATGAAATGATTTAGTATATTTCATTGTTTAATTTATAAGAAAAAAATCTGTTTTTAGGCTACTGCATTTTATAAACCAAACTCGAATATTGCTTCCTTGGCCTATTGTATAATGTTATCCTGTTTGTATGAGGTGAACTTATTTGATTAGTGATTGCATTAATGAATTATCAGCAATACAATTAGCTGTTAATTATAATTTATATGGGTCAAAACGTGAGTCTATAAAGGTTCATCTCGTCATCTCAAGAGTATTAAATTCTGATCTCTAACATGAAACCCAAAAGGCGAGTCTATATTTAGATGTTAAGATATTTCAAAACTAAACGTAAATAATCATTACTGTATGTCCCAACAGTTATTTTATGTGTATCCCAGTCACAGCAACCATATTCTATTAATATAATGATCGAAATTAATTAGCTTATGCAAGAAGATTCAGTATTTTTATACTAACTCATATAATTAACTATTATCAAAGCAACCATCACCTATAATTTGGAGAAAATAATTAAGTATCAACTTATTCATTAGCTGATTTGGAATTAGGAATCACGTCTCTATTTCACAGTAAATATTCTATATATTGCCAAGTAGTTATATAAAAGTAGGCTAGAGTAAGTTTAAAGTATATTTAACTATTGTCAATTCCAAGAATTATTGTGTCAGTTTGTTTGTTTTTATTTAACCTCAAAATTTGACAGGTCTGAACACATGATCACACTACTGCCAAATAGGTTCATCTTCAAAGATATTCCACCACACCTTAACTGCTTCTAGCTAAAAAAATCCAACTGTACTTGTTATAGGACTTTATTAAAGAACCTGGGCAGCATTAGTCCATTGGCAATCGAAACATCATTATAAACCGTACTAATATTATAAAGCTGTAAGTGTGTGTGTGTTCGTTATTTGTTTGGGACTCAATCAAGATATGACTCGAATTGGGTTTGAAATTTCGCATGATGATAGATCATTTTATATGCTTATTATTATTCCTATTTGTGTAACTAGTGGGCGAAGTGGCGCATTGTTGCACACGAGAGAAATGTTTACGCATGTTCCGTGGGCGAGTGTTGAAAGTTTATCGAGTGCGGCAGAGGTAGTTTGCACTCGTGTTACACATTATATTTTCCCTACAAATCATAATAGTTAGTCTTTCAAACATTTTTTTAGGTTAAGTTAAATCCAAACATCGAACGAAATGGGAAACGCTGCACCTTCTGATCGTAGTCGTAAGCTGTGGTTTCCTAGACGCGTAAAGATGCGCTGCGGCTTTTGTCCAGGTCCCAAAACGCAGCTGCCGTGAGTGGTTTCCTAGACTGCGTACAATATACATGGTTGGTGCGTA